ACTCGAATGCTTGAGAGGTTTTGAGTTGGCATGAATCCAAACTTTTTGAAAAATTAGCCGATTTTGGATCTGAAGTGTGTTTTTATTTTGTTCAAGATTCATAGCCGAAAATTCATTGAAATTTTCAAGTTGTGACACACCAAGTATTCAAAAACAGGGTACAAGAACGGGTATTCCGGTTGAAATTTCATTTGGGTATTTCCATGGTTTCCTAGATGATTGATTATAAAATACAATTGGACGCGGTAGATGGCACTACTGTCACTACTAAACGGTGAGACCGATTGGGTTGACATTTTTAATATGTAAAACAACAACAAAAATACAAGAGATGCTGAGAGAATGAAAATAGGTGTCCCCTTGCACCATCTCTAATTGATTGATTTGGAAATGGAGGTATTGACCCAGTTGATGTTCCTGCTGCTCTCAAAGCAATTAACGTCGTCATTAACTTTTTTCAGGACTGAAAATATGGGGAGAAATCCACCCCTTTTTTCTTATAATTCTTGGTCCTAACTGAAAAACTTGGAGCTACATTTTGGACGATGAATGTTGAACAGGAAGATATCTTTCAGAAGCTACATTCTGACTCGAAGTCCGTTAATTTTTCAAAAAGTTATGGTTTATGGTAAATTGATGATAATTGTCAAATATTCAAGTAGTTCAAGGAGGGGTATTCGAGAAATACATGGACTTTTGGTTTGTACTTTTTATTTGAATACTTCACAATAATGTTTTTTATTTACCTAAGTAATACAATATCATTTATCGGGTGCCACAAATTAGTGGCTCATTATTCTTCTTTCTATTAGAACTGACTAATGATATATTTAGCAGCATCATGCTGTACATGAGTCTGCATTTTCCATCATAACATGTTGTCATCATCTTGCCCTATTCATTCCACGGTCTGCTTGTCAGCCTTTGACTTGTAAATGAGACCTCCTGTATGGGTATTCCATGTTCGGTTTGGGGATTATTAATCTCCAACCAAATATGGAATACACATTGTAGAGCGGTGTCTTGTTTGGAAGTCATTTAGAGATGAGGGCCAAGCTATGACAACATATGTTGTTGGTAGAAGATGCAGAATCAGAGATATGGTACGACGTTGTCAAATATCCTTTCATTAGCTCTAACAGGAAGAGTTGGTGAGCTAATAATTTGTAGCACCCTGTAGCTAAACCGGCACGATGTGAAGGCCGGTTCCATTTTCTTAGGGCGACTGGTAACGACTAGACTTGGCGGTGTTGGCGTGGTGTCGGTATCGTCTGAAAAATATAAAAATATATTTCAGACATACTTACAGCAAGCCTGCCTCTCTGTCTTTCGGGTCTGGAAGAACATGGACACATACTCTCTTGTATGTCTCTCTGCCTGCCAAACTGTCCTGTCCCTCTCTCTCTTTGTCACCGGCCCTGTTCCTTCAGACACAGATAGGACAGGTACAGACAGACATCACAAGACATTGACAGACACATACAGTAGGGAGAAAGAAGGGAAGGGAGAAATGTAGGAAGAAGAAAAGGGAGGGGAAGAAATGTAGGAAGGAGACAAGGGAACCAAGTGATATTCGCGAGACAAGAAGGGGAGATTATATTATATTATATACAGTATGCTTATGCAATACCATGGTCACCCTGTCCCGTCTTTGTCTAGTCCTCGTCCTGTCAGTCAGTCAGTCTTTGTGTGCCTACATGTCATACCGTACCTGTATCCTGTCCCTGTCTCGGTCTCGTCCTGTCATGTCCAGTCCGTCAGTCTCACTGCCTGTCACCGTCCCTGTCTGTCCTGTCATGTCAGTCTGTCAGTCTCGTGTGCCTGCCTGTTAGTCTCGTGTGCCTGCCTGTTAGTCTCGTGTGCCTGCCTGTCACTAGCTTACCTGTCACTATCTGTTTGTCCGTTAGTCTCTGGCTACCTGCCTACCTGGTCACTTTTTAACTGCCTGTCAGTCTCTAACTGTCTGCCAGCCAATTTCGTTTGTATGCCTGCTTGTCACTCCTTGTCTATGTTTGAGACAAACAGGGAGCGAAAAGTAGACAGACAGAGAGATAATAGGACAGGCAGATTGGCAGAAAGAGACAGACAGTCAAACAGAGATAGGTAGGCTGGTAGACAGAGACTGGCAGGCAAGCAGATAGAATGAAACAGTCATGCAGACAGAAAGAGGCAGACTAACAGACGAGCAGGTAGGTAGAAAGAGACAGACATGCAGACAGACAGCTAGAAGTCTATTCGCGGGAATCAATGTTACCAGGTGGCGCTCGGTTTTCATCGTTCCATGTCAAAGCCACGTCAAAACTGGGGGAAAACAAACTCAATCCTCACTCAATCCTATTAGTGCCATTAGCTTGTGTACTGTATATATATGGAGTCTATGCACTTTATCCATAGACAACAGTTTGTTTTCCCCCAGTTTGAAGTTCGTATTATGTAACCTAGATGTCGCCCACTTCGTGGATCTCGCTAATACGCTCGTAATGCATGTAAATTCTCTCAATTCATGGTGTTGAATATCTTCAATCCATCTCCATGAAATAGAGAAGAAAAAAAGTCGAAAAGTCCGTCGTCGTTCCTCCTCAACGGTCTCTCCTTCTGTCGCAGGTATTATTCCGTACGCCGGCATCGATTTGGCCGTGTACGAAACGCTGAAGAAGAAATATTTCATGACACACTCGAGCAACGAGCAGCCCACCTTTTGGACCCTGTTGGCGTGCGGCAGCGCTAGCAGCACCCTCGGCCAGATGTGTTCCTATCCGTTGGCCCTCATCCGGACCAGACTGCAAGCCCAAGGTGAGTCTCAAAAAGCCGACATGTCATTGTGTGCGTCTGTGTCTATGTGTTTTCGTCACGAAAAGCTATTGTCGATACATTATCAATCAATCAATCAACCTTTGTTTCCTCAATCTCACTCTACCTAATTGCACACCTCTGAAACATAAGGAACTATCCAATGGCTCCATCAATCTACCAACTAGGGTCATATATTCTTTGGTGGATTCTAGTCTGACGTAACCACGTGTTCATTTATTACCTACTGTTGTGTCAACCAAAATTGCAAACCCTTCCACCAATGTACAGAGATGAGGCGCAGGGCCGATCCTAGCGGGTGTGCAGCGCGTGCCCCGCACGCGGGCGGCCAAAACATGGGGCGGCCGCAGGCCGCATATTGTCCTATCAAACAAAATCATTTGAAACTCATAAGTCGAATGAATATGCTGCATTTTGAATGAATAAAATGATAGTAAATAGTGTGTTGGTCCATTGTCAATTAATGTCTACTTTTTATACACATTCTTATCTTCCCAAATTTTAAATTTCTATTTGAAACAATAACCAAGGGGCATATTTTTCAGACGCCTAAGGATGTTTTGTTCCATCACTGTGCGGTAGCTTATTTATGCATTTCTACTACTTACTAAGAGACTATGAGAGAAAATCCCAAAAAATCTGGAGAACATCCACTTGGTTAAACTACAGACACCATTTAAAATACTTTTCACTTGCTCTTCTTATTGTTCTTATTTTCAGATTCCAGATCATTTTATATCAATTACAATAAACTGTGATATACTAATGTGATGAATTTGAATCCCAACAAAAATTTCGCCTGCGGCGCATTTTTTGCCATAGGAAAATTTTGTCTGAGTTTCTTGGCCGCTCCCGGTATGCACTGAAATGGAGTTATTACCTGAAAGCATTTGACCTTGAACTCAGAAAAAATTCGCCTGCGGCGCATGAAGATTTTGTCTACATTTTTTTTCTGTGTTTTACTTCTTATCCTTGTACAAGTAGTTGAAGTTATGAAGTCATCAGGTATTATAGTTAAAAAATATGAAAAATTCTCTAGAGGGGCGGCACATTAGGTTTATGCACGCGGGCGGCCGACACCCTAGTATCGGCCCTGATGAGGCGTGTTCTATTATTCATCAATGAGTCATGCGCATGAAATGTAAATTCATCAGATAGTATTCTAATTCTCCAATCCAAACACCGCTTATTATTCATCTAATATATTGGCGTGAAGGAATAATGTATTGATGAATTCAAAGAGGTGGATATGTCAAATGGTGAAATCACTGAAAACTGTGAGGTTATTTGTCTACGCTGGTGATGAAATGAAGATGAAACAGTGATCAATATAGTGAGTTTGTCAATTTGCAACTGTAGTTGGGGGCTAGGTAGCCGTGCGGACCAGATGTCAGTATTCTGATCCGTATTTGCTTGCCTATCTTGGGTTCAATTCCCAGCGACTGTAGAAATTTTTCTGATGGCCCAAGAAACTTCAATAATCATAAATACATTCGTTGTTTGAAATGCTGGTCTATCTTATCTTTTTAGAGTTTTACTAACCCTCAATATTAGATATTTCATTTTTGTACACATCAGATCGCTAATCGCTCCTCTATTGAAACTACAAAATAGCCACAATGTTCAAAGTTAAATGAAATGTTGAATAAATACAAAAAAAGACTTATTTGCTCCTATATTAAGTTGGAATCTATATTTCATCGGAGCATCTGTGACGTCAGAAGACATGATAAGTAATTATCAAATGAATATAAAAACACGCCTTTAATGGGCGTTTCTCGTGGCTTCCGAAATGACAGCGACGACAGCATAACCTCAAATAACTATGAACAGAATATTGGATTTGAAAACTGTTTGCCATTTGCCTATGAAAAAATATGAATGGATTAATCAAAATCAGTCTAGAATGAACGAATAGATACATTATTGACACCAACATTTACTATCATTCTCTCGAACTCCCTTTCTCTCTCATACCCAATTGCCCTGGTACCTTTGAAAAAAACCATTGATCAGTCGGTGTTTTTTGTTGTTGTTTCGTGTTCGAATCTGCCTGCCTGCCTGCCTGCCTACATGTCTGTTCTGTAAGTCTGCCTCGAAAAGAAATTAAAGGAAAGACCCGACAACCTCGAAATCAACCCGACTCACCCCCGAATCCTCTACCAAAACGTTTTCTTCTTCTCTTCCAGTCGCTCATCCCGCCATCGATCCCACTTCTGCCACCATGTCGGGCGTGTTTCGCACCATCGTGGAAAAGGAGGGCGTGTTCGGCCTGTACAGGGGCATCACGCCCAACTTCATCAAGGTGATGCCCGCGGTGAGCATCAGCTACGTCGTCTACGAGTATTCCAGCCGGTTGCTGGGCGTCAATATGACGTGAGGTGGCCGTGTGCCTAGCTAGGAGAAACACTGTGAAAGAAGAGATTTTTTTGTTGAATCGAAATTAATTTATTTGTTGTTGCTCGCCCCGAATGCGAGTGACTGAGCGCGCGCTGTGAACACGTGACACGGACAAGAGTTGTGTCGGACTTTTTTTTTCCCTTTCTTTTCAAATGACTTGAGCATGACAGATTCGAGTGTACCTACCTCTATTTACAATTATAAATGATGAGAAATGTGTCCTTTGTTGGAATGAAATAAATGGTATCCATTCAAATGTGTTTTGGAGAATTAATGATTGAATAGTGGGCGCGGGTGCAAATATTGTTGAAGTAAGTTTCAAAAGTTCCTATACATTGAATCCTCCAGCCTAAAATATGAAATAGGAGGAATTGACTTGCTTTATCTAAATTCTGCTGAATACAAATTCATAGAACCCTATTATACCGGGTGTAACAGGATGATGGTACACCAAACCATTTTGACGAACTCAATTTGGTGATAAATCAAGAAATTTTACATTCTTGACAGGATTCAACTTCTATTTAGCATTACACATGTCGACAGCAGACTCAATCAAAATAGTCAAGGCACACTCCGATGGAAAATCAAAAATGAAATCAGAATCAATAATGAAGTTTGAAATGTTATTTACATGGTATCATAGGCTTCAGAAATGATGCAGAATTCGAAAATGCATTGATATACAGGGGGTTCCATATGAAAATCAATAGTTATTACCTCTTCCGGTGAAACCGGAAGTGGAAATTGAAACATATTCATGTCAAAATGTGACGTTTATAAGGGGGTGTACCATGATGCTGTTTCACCCGGTATAGTGCAAGTGAAGTGAAAATATATGATATTAGAGCTTCACTTCTATCCTTGGACAAGAAGGAATCTTCATTCCTAGGAATTGATTGTCGCCCAGTAGAGAGCTTTTGCAACAAGTCTTACAAAATGTCACATTCAAATATGGTGCAATGTTCATTTCTCTAAATTTCAGTAAGGGGCCAATTTGATATTTTCGATAATAATGAACTGAGAGTCACTTTACTGGCATCTGATGACCCTTACAATTGAAAGAAATTGTTATTTGGTCGTCAGACGCGGGAAATATATGACAATTTCAAAGGGAAAAACTTCAATATAATGAAATGAAACTTCAATGTTTGCTTCATTAAATTGAGATAAACTGTATCATTCAGTCTCTACATAATCTCACCATTGTGCAAAATCCTTAAATTGAAGGAAATAGATGATTGATTCAGATGTGCCAAATAACTCACCCAGCTAATTGAATTTTAGTGATTTCATAACGTTCAACTGTTTTCATAATTCCTTGGCACACTTGACTCACTTAGTTCATTTCAATCCCAGAATTTTGATGGAAATTCGAGACTGTGTACAAAGTGACACCTTGCATATATTTTGTTTTTGAAAAGTCAGATCGAAGATATATCAAATTTCAAATGGAATTCGCTAAATTATTATAAAGAAATTAGGGGACAAAGAGAAATCATTGCAACAAAATATCTCGAGAAAAAAGGGTTTTAAAAATATGTACACAGATAGAATTGAGATACCTTGTGAAAAATGGCTTGTTTATAGGAATTTGTCAATTGGAAGAATAAAAATTTCAAAATGGAAAACTTACTTTTTTAATAAATGACTAATAGCTATGCTAATAGTAAGAAAAACTTGAGTTTCTTTCCAAGGGGAAAGAATCACATAAGTACATCACAAGATTTCTCAAAATCATAAAAAGTAAATTTTCAATATTGAAATATGGCATAAGATCAAGTTGAATTTGAAAATGTTCCCAAAAGAAAATCGAACATGAAAGGAACATCCAATAGCAGCGATTTTCGTTTTAGAAAGTCACTTTGGAATCTTGAAAAGACAAATTGATAGAATATAGAATTATTTTGGTATGGGTTAGTCTGAAAAGGTATCTGATGAGTCTCAATAGTTTCAAAACTTGTTTTGTAATCACTGATGCTATACCTAAAATATCCCTTTCCAGGCTCACCCTGTATTTCATTGCAGAACTGCATAGGCGCGTGATACACCATGTGTATCAGAAAACTAAACTTATGAATGAAAAAACTACTAATTTGTGGATATACAGGGTGGGCCACCAGTAACGCCTCGGTCTCTAGAAGGCTAACCACTTATCTTCTTGGAATTCTTCCTCTCTAGGAAGTTGCATGTCAACATAGGCTACCATTTAAAATTATTTCGAAACATACAGGGTGTCCCCAAAAACCATAAAACACTGAAGTTAAACCCTTTTTCTATCGAACACCCTATATATTATTTCATTTTGAGATTCTTCCTGATGAGCTGATTTCAACGACCCATCATACTTGGGGTCTAGCAGTTATAATTACTGAAATATAGGGTGTGAAAAATCAAGATTTTCCAAGTTCAAGAAATGTTTTTGTCGAAACTATTCATAATTGGTCAAAACGGCTTACATGTCCCTATCTCAACTTTTGATTAACTATCTACTGATATTTAATTGGGACATATACCGGGTGATCAAGATTCTGAATTCTGCACCACCCTGTATTTGTTCCAATTAAATGTCAGTAGATAGTTGATCAAAAGTTGAGATATGGAAATGTGAGCCGTTTTGACCAATTATGAATAGTTTCGACACAAAAAATTCTTGAACTTGGAAAATCTCGATTTTTCACACCTTATATTTCAGTAATTATAACTGCTAGACCCCAAGTATGATGGGTCGTTGAAATCAGCTCATCAGGGAGAATCTCAAAATGAAATAATATATAGGGTGTTCGATAGAAAAAAGTTTAACTTCAGTGTTTTATGGTTTTTGGGGACACCCAGTATGTTTCGAAATAATTTTAAATGGTAGCCTATGTTGACATGCAACTTCCTAGAGAGGAAGAATTCCAAGAAGGTAAGTGGTTAGCCTTCTAGAGACCGAGGCGTTACTGGTGGCCCACCCTGTATATCATAAATTTAAGATTACAATGATCAATTTTCGTCTATTCAATAAAAGTCCGAGGCAACTCTGAAAACCAGTGGATCGAATCAAACAGGCTGGTTCTTTCCGCGTATGGCGACTAGCCGACATTTAGCTGAATTTATTTATTTGTACAGGATAGGCTTTTGAATTTTATCAATTTACTCTAAATTTTTTTACTGCGATAGTGAGGCCGTGAATTTCATGAAGTTTCTGATTGATGGTATCATTAGAAACTACTCACTGATTCATTGAAAATTCAAGGCAAGAAAATAAGCGTTAAAATATCTCATGTTTAATGTATTTGCATATTTTGTTGAGACTCTGCTTGAAAATAATGTTGCTTTCAAAGCATTTCTGATATAACTTTAAAAATGCAAAAAATCAAATAAAAAAAAAACAACATTATCTTGTGATACTAGATATGGAGAAACAAGAAGAAAATTATCCACCAATCACAAACTTGTTTCAATGTATACAAAAAGTGAATTGACTTTTTAAATAAGTGAGATTTGAGAATCATAATTTTATATTTATTCTACATTGGTATTGTTATTGCACGAATTTCCTAGTTATTGAAAAAATAGTTAATGTTTTACCTAAGAAAATTCCAAATCATATTATATTTAGATTTATATATTCCAGAATACGAGATAGATAAAAAGAAAAGGTCCCGATGTACTTAATATTTTAATAAAATATGGTATTTATTATACTGCAGAATGTACCTATTTCCCAAAACATCAAGTGTAAAATAAAATGTTATGATGATTCTCCCTTAGTGTTTGTTTAAATGAATTCCCGCTTCCCTATCCACTATCCACAACAGTTTTCCTGTAGAGGGTTGTACTCTAGCTGCCGGCAACTTTTCCTGGTCTACTAAAATTCTCTAAAACAAAAATAGTCAAACTGCCAACCATTACTCGAAAAAAAAAAAGAAAAAGAAAAAAAAAAGGTCACATGAACACCTAATGAAATTTCCCCCAAAATGAAAGCACAGAGCGAGCAAGGACCAAGCAAGTGATTGAATATGTTCATTTTGATGCTGATGAAGAAAATACAATATTTACGTAAATTACCACTAAATTCGCCATTTTCTCAAAATCAAATCACAGAATTAGACTGACAGATATATAATTACTATGCTTCAAACGAATGATAAAGATGCCTGCAAAAAACTTCAAATTTCATGTGGATAATTTTCTGATTTCAATATAATATACAGGGTGATCCACGGTGGATGGCCTATTAGAAGTATCTGGAGAACAAAAAGACAAAACATTCTGAAAATTGGGATGCTTTGATAATTGAACATTCTCTATCCGTCTAAAATATTTTCATCGATACAGTGTTGCCACTTCTATCAGAAACAACTAGCAACTTCGTTATTTTGAATGGAGCACCCTGTATTTTATTACATTTTTAGATTCTTCCTGAAGAGCTAATTCCATCAATGCATCACACTTGGGGTCTAACAGGAATAATTACAGAAATATAGGGTGTTCAAAATCGAGATTTTTCAACTTCAAGATTTTTTGTGTCGAAACTATTCATTATCGGCCAAAACGGCTTCCATGTCCCTATCTCAACTTTTGATTGACTATCTACTGACATTTAATTAGAACAGATACAGGGTGATCAGAATTCTGAATCTTAAAGCACCCTGTATTTTTTCCAATTAAATTCCAGTAGATAGTGAATCAAAAGTTGAGATAGGGACATGTGAGCCGTTTTGATCGATAATGAATAGTTTCGACACAAAAAAATCCTAGAATTGAAAAATCTCGATTTTGAACACCCTATACCTCTGTAATCATTCCTGCTAGACCCCAAGTGTGATGCATTGATGAAATCAGCTCTTCAGGAAGAATCTAAAAATGCGATAAAATACAGGGCGTTCTATTTGAAATAACAAAGTTGCTAGTTGTTTTTGATAAAAGTGGCAACACTGTATCGATGAAAATATTTCAGGCGGATAGGGAATGTTCAATTATCAAAGCATCCCAATTTTCAGAATGTTCTGTCTCTTAGTTCTCCAGATACTTCTAATAGGCCATCCACCGTGAATCACCCTGTAATTTCTTCTCAATATTGATTCATCCTTATTCTTGTCACAGAAAAAAATACTGTATTATACACCGGAAAAATATTAGATTTTACCTCATGGTTTGTTTTGTTAAATGCTAGCAAATTCTTGACATTTTTTTCTAGTTCCTACTTATTTTTGTCTGAAATAAACGAATTTTATAATAAAAATGTGAATAAAACCCATTCTATGGAAACATTTCACTAAAAAGTTCGAAATTCAACCTACATTTTTTGACTTTCTTCATGAGTCAACTAGAAATATGATTTTCTTGTGATTTATCCATGTTCAGTGGAAAGAAGGAAGAATAACATTTGAAATAATGACATTTGACATCTCGTATTTGGATTGCATATGGATTAAATGGCCGTCATCTGGTATGCTTGCTCACTAAATCGGAAAAACTCGCCATAAAATCATATTTCCTGTTGAATTTTCTAGCTTAAAATGTGTCATTGAAGTACATCATGAGTATATTAAGTGTCCAATGACAAAATAAAAAGAGCAAGTACCTGTAAATGCATCCAACACAAAGGGGAAAATAAGGCAAAATTTCGAACTTTTTATTGAAATATCTCGATAAATAGTGGTTTGTTCACATTTTCATTATCAAATTCGTGTTTTTCAGACAAAAATACGTAAGTACCAAAAAAAAAACCCATCGCATGATAAGTGCAAAATTACCGAAAATAACACAGTATGCAGCAATAAATGCATGAGTGAACTGAAAATTATATCTTGGTGAAATTATAGCATGTGGCTTTTCAAATTCAAATTTCACCCTGTTTTCACTGACAAAATTTGACTCACCTTCAACATATCAGCTTTCTCTTTCCCTGCCGTGGCAAAAACGCAAACTCTCGCATTGTTGATAACTGGAAAAGTCAAAGTCACCCGACTCGGGGGTGGTTTTGGAGAATCAGTTATGGGAGCCACCCACCTAAAAACAAACCACAAAACGCTAGGAACAACTCAAATTTCCACATTTCTTTCATCATTCCAACATTAAACTGTGCAATCATTGACTATAAGCAATTCTATCTACCTCTTGGTCTCGTTCAAGAGAGGATGTCCCGGAAAAAGGGAACAAGTATGTCCATCAGGTCCCATGCCAAGCAGGAGCATGTCAAAAGTTGGTAGGGAAGATCCAGGAAAGAACTTTGAAATCTGGGAGGCATAATCGGTAGCAGCGTCTTCAGCTGAAAATACAAAATCCCTGCTGTTCACTAGATAGGATAAATATGTGATGAGCCGGCTGTAATTATCGAAAAATCGAGAAAAACACTAACTATCATTGCTTGTTCCAATACCACATCCGATTCATACCGTTTCAAACGCAAGATTCAGGTTTGCATCATATAAATTTTAGATCACAGTTGTACAATTTTTCGAAAATGGTGGACTAACAATCTAAATTCGAATCTGAATTCGCCGGCCAATCAAATAATGCCACTCGGCAAAGATCAAACAAAACACGATCACGGAATCACAGAACCGTCAGAATCACAAGACACAAAAATGTGAATTCCATTCCACTGAACTGGCAGCGTTTTCTTTTCACTTCACGGAGTACACCGAGTGCAGTAAGTTCCACAAGAATAAGCAGAAAATCATAAAAAAAAGTATCTTGATAAAACAAAGTTTAGAAAACAAGAATTCTGAGAAACTTGATGAGTTTGTTGAAATTATAGGATTTCCTGAGTTGAATTTTTTTCTAAAATGGTGGTGGAGGTGCCAGATCAAGGTTTATAAACCACAAACAAAAACCTCATTGCACAGGTGCACTTTGAAAATTATTTTTGGGAATTGGAATTTGCCGATATGAACCTGATATGCCAAAACTTTCTCCAGTGTTTACCAAGACATTTAATAATCCATGAAACATGTAAAACCTACCTGAAACTCCTTGTTTTATTTGTATGAACTGTTCCTCCTTCAAAGCAACTGCACCAGAATCAATGAGACTTCTTTTGTAGAGTCCATAAGTAGAATCAGCATCATCAACTGGGACCAGTCTTTCATCACAAAAGAATATCCTCCATTGTGAGAAGTCCTTTGTCTTTATTTTTGGCAGTCCTTTACTCAGAAATGTGGCAAGAGAACCACCTAAAACAATGAGAATATTCCTAAAAAAAATGACATTGCATGATAAACTGTCCCAGTCTGTAGATTTTTTATGGATGTTCTTATCTGTGAGGCAATAATGAATAATAAATAAATGAATATATTCTCCTTGAAGCAAATCCATGAGATTTACATACATTATGTATAGGTTCTTGTTGTATATTGCACTGCAATAATAGCTGAAAATTTACAAAAATAATACCAGAAGTATAGTAGCACCATAGATTGAAAAATTTTTTTAATCTATGGTAGCACTATAAAACATGTCCATGATGATGAAGTTATTCAAATGATGTAGCAGTTTTTCATTATTTTTATTAGATGATCAAGGAGTCTTACCGGAAAATCCTATCAGAAACAAGCCTTTGTTTTGAATGCTTTCTATTGCAGTTGTTTCAATTATTTCACAAAGCTTAGAAATAACGTCGTCTTTACTTTCAACAACAATCACGGTCATTTTTAACGCTCAACTTCTACGTACTTCTACGCTTGTCGGAGTCTTATCACGGACCACAGTCACGGACCGGAATTACCAAATAATCAAATAAACCATGCGCTTGAATAAGTACCAGTGTTGCCAATAAGACGGAAAAAGCGCAATAGTTGCGGATGAAATAAAAAAACGAACAATATCAAATTTTTAAATAGGTGTAGGTATAGGTATTGATATGAGTCGCGAGTACTATCCGAGCGATCGATCATTCGAATGGTATTTCGATTATAGGAATCATTCGAATACTACCTATTCGATTATGAGATTCATTATTGGATTATGACCATAGTTATTGCTGTCAATGAAGATCTTGTTAAAATCATAGGCTGGGAAACCAACAACCTGGTATGTATTGTCACCAAAATTATGAACACCTGCCAAATTTCAAGTTAATCGGAGTTATGGAATTTTTGTTGAAATTAAAAAAAATGGCTGCTCCAAGATGGCGGACAAGATTTGGTCCGATTCCATTCAAAATTGGTAAGTGGGGGTTTTTGAGGTCGGAGATCATGATTTTTTTGTTGAAATTTATGAATTCAAGATGGCGGCTTCCAAATATTTTTTTGTTTTTGTATAAATGACGATAACTCCGTTGTTATCAACACAAAACTATTACTGCGACCTATCATCTGAAAGAGAAGAAAAAGTTATTTGTAACTAAGTCATAGTGAGCTATGACCTACATTTGAAAAACTAAAGTTGGTGCTGATATCTCAAATTCTAGAAGAGTAGGTATAAATTTTATATTTTTTTTCGAAATCACGTTGAAAAACTGCCATGAGAATGTGAAATTTCAATTTGAATATTTTCATAAATAATGAAGTTACGGAGGGGACATGAAAATGATCAAATTTTTTTTGCGTATAAAACCAAAACGAATAGATTTTATCAAAATATTTTTTCACATTATAGTTGGCCTTGACAAACTCCACATTTGGTGTCATTTAACCGACCCCGTATCACTCACCGTTAAAAAGATACCCATGGTGAGCATGGTAAGTGGGACACACTGTATAATGGTTTGGAAGAACTATCAATGACTTTTGCAATGTTGCCACACGTTCAATTTCGTAAACACCCATTTCCAAATTAGTATTCCCGTCTACATACAAACTTTCGAACTTATCTACCTAAACGATATTCAAATGAGACAAAGCTAGTGCAAGGTGTAGTATAATGGCCCCACGAAATGATCCGAGATCGAACGGGATAGGTACTAAGAAGAGAGGCCATTAATCAACCCGAGTAGTAACCCCCTAGAGGCCAAACGGACGATTTATTCCACCTTTTAGGCCTTCTCCTGACACCCCGGACATTAAAAATACAGCATCCAATTAGGACTCCTGACCTGCACATGCCTACACAGTGCACGTTCTCCGAATTCCCCACTAAATCAATCTCACCTGAAACAGACACATACGTTGGGCCGCCAGAAATCCCGGGAAAAGACGTGGCCGCGCGTGAAAAGTCGGCTTCGAGAGATTTACCAGCTGCCACCTCGAATTGGTCACACATCAGACGATATTTTCGAGGAAAACAGCGAAAAGAGGAAACAGTAATTCACGAAACGAGTCCAGAAAATACTGTGTTTTTGGACGAGTAGTAGACAAAATTCTAGGCCGAGCAGTACCCAGCGAGCACAAACATCCCTGGGATGTTTTGAAAATGTTGGCATGAAGATGTTATTTTGAGACGTAATATGCACTGACCAAAGAGGTCTTTGAAGGATATTGAAGTATTGTTTTTGTTCTTCTGTGGCATTTCTTTGTTTACCTACTGAGAGATATCCCTGGGATGTTTTGAGATGTTTTAGACATTTAGGCATGAGGATGTTTTTTTGAGGCGTAATATTATTATGCACTTCCCAAAGAGGTCTTAGAAGGATATTGAAAGTATTGTTTTTGTTCTTTTGTGCCCTTTCTGATTTGTTTTCGATTTTGTTCTTCTTGTTCGCAATTGGCATTCGCGTTTGCAGCGTGTCACGCTTACATCACGCTGCTAACGAATAGAAAGGAATTTGGTGAAGTTTATTGTGTTAGAAGACTTCTTTAGTTTGTAATAATGACCATCAGATGCAAGATGTGTTGTTCGGTGCCTCAGTGTAATCAATATATAATTATATAAAAGTACGAATTTATCAATACAAAGCTTCTCCGCAGTTGCAAAATTATGCATTGTGGAGAACATTTCAAAAATTGGGAAACCTATTTCCAAGTATATGTACGCACTACTCAGAAACCGATTAAGAAGGTAATTTCATATCAAGAAAATATTTTTATGTTCAATCTATTTTTAATGCATTATTTTTTCATTCAAGGGAAATGGAATCCTAATGCAAAAGTTCATTTTGACAAAAGGCTTCAGAAAAGTACCTCTAAAATGGTTTTTTTACAGCGATTTAATGTGCGCAAGACGCGTTGAAAATGTTTTGTTGTGTCCATGAAAAGGCTTTAAAAAGAACTAGGGAGAAGGTAGTTTTGTGACATATCAAGGACATCTCGATAATTGCCGCCTGCGGCGGACATCGGCTGTTCTATAATAGTTCTATTCATGTGTGAACAGTACATCGCAGTAGAGGTTCAATGTCTCGAAATCTCGTACTTTTAACATCTCTGAGATGTTTTTGTGCTCGGTGGGTAGGCGTGTCCTGGAAGTCTGCCGAGTCAATATAGCTATTTTTTTATGTTCTGGTTCCCACGAAAAGGGATATCCTGTAATGTTCAGAGAACATCGTGAGAATAGAGGAAAATAGGGAAGGAATCGGTGTTCCTTCTTAAATTTCTGGAGGTTATATGCCTCGTGCAACACCTCCCTTGGCAATGTGTTCCAGAACCTCTCTGTTCGTTGGATGAACGAGTCTTTGGAAAGAGATAGTCTGCAGGTCTCCAAAGTGACCACAAGGGGTACGAAGCCTCAACTCGACGGGTTAATCTAGCGGGGACTGCCAAGGGAGGAACAATTGTTGATATTTCAGAAGAGCATCGTCCATGAAAATATCTATCAAATAGAGCCAGATCGCCAACTTTTCTACGGTGTTCCAGAGAAGTGAGTGAGTTTGTGAGCGAGGCATCACCCACGAGACGAATTGCGCTTTTTTTGGACAGAATACAACATTTTCACGGTATGTTTGGTTGCTGTATTCCAAATATGGGAACAGTATTCCAGGACAGGTCGGATCTGTGCCTTATAGATCATAAGCAGCTGACTGGAAGTAAAATAGCTCCTGGCCCGAAACAGAAAACCAAGTTTTTGGGATACACTTTTTGCAATTGATCTCTCGTGGTTTTCCCAAGAAAGGTTATTGCTGATAGTAATACCAAGCATCGAAATGGATGTCTTCAAAGGTATCGTTACTCCTGACAAGCTCATGTTGGGCACAGTGAGATCGGCTTTTCTAGAGAAAGGGCATGCTTGTGTTTTGTTTGCATTGAAATCTATCAAGTTATTGGAATTATTTCCGGCAGGAAGTATTCTCCAAGACCTTCAAAAGTTGAAAAAAACATATCTTCTCTCCATATCTTCCCAAAGAAAGCACGATGTTCATCAAACATAGTCGGATTCCAATTCGTGCGCTCCCAAAGATACAAAAAACAATTTTTTTCTGTGACGGGAAAAAAGTTTGGCTTTTCATTTCTGTTGGCAGGTTAAAAACGTCACTTTTCATAAATTACTTTTTTCCCGTGAGAAAAAAAGTGGGTACTTTTTTCATGGACATATATCACATATATGCACTGTTGATGGCTTTTGTTGTGCTATAGTTCCGAAAAATGAGTCAATAATACCGTCTCCGAAAAAGAACTGCAAGTCCTTTTATCTTCCATTCGACTTCGCGGTAACGTATATTTACTAAACAACCAGTAAATTCGCAATTTTTTGAAATCAAATCACAGAATTAGACTGACAGAAGTGACATCAGATATCTGATTACTTCCAAAGAATGATAAAGATGCCTACAACGCAGGTGTCCCTACTGTTAAAAACTTAAAATTTCACGTCGATAATTTTCAGATTTCAAAATAATGTAATATCTTTTCAATATTGATTCGTCCTTTCTTCTGTCATAGAAAAAATAGTGTATAATACACGGGAAAAATATTAGATTTTAGCTCACTCAGACAACACAACCTGGAGCTTAAATCTACTACTTTTTTCCCTTGTATAATAAATAACTATTTATGCCGTGATGTACTGCCACGTGGAAACGATATGGAACATCCATGCCATTGATTAATTTGATATCCTGATACATCTACAACGATATCACAATGAGTGTAATTATTTTTTGCTGTCCTTCGAGTATAGGATCTAGATAACTTCGGACACGAACAGAAACAAAAAGTGAGATGGACTATTTTTATCCCTGTTTTTATCTCCACCATCGCACAAAGCACACAATATAAATTCGTGTTTATCTCGTGAAAATAACTCCGGGCGCATTACGATTCCAGATAAAATCACACATCAAATATACAGGGTGTTGTGTCTGTTCAGAACTTGGAAAACAGACACATCATTCGATCGAAGAGAATCACATATGAAATGGGAAAATAGTATATTGTTTAACGAGCACGGAATGATAGTGATTTCCTACGAGAATGAGTTTTGCAGCATGAGCCTTAGGCGAATGATGCATTCATTCGAGTAAGAAATTTGCATCCGTGCAAGTTATACACTATAATTTCTCTACGGCTATTGATTGATTGATTGATTGATTGATTGATTGATTGATTGATTGATTGATTGATTGATTGATTGATTGATTGATAGACAGAGCTCTCATTGCTTGAAATTTGACAATCCATCTTCAGTAAGGATATGTTCAGCTAGTTTCAATTTGTTGATGTGTCTTTCATTTATATTGTATTTATGTTCCTTAATTAATGGAAACATCCTTCAACTCAATTGATTGCCAACGTCATCAATGGGCTTATTACACAAAAAAAATTTATTTCATAATTCGATAG